ACTGCTAACCAGAAGGCTGGCGATTCAAACCCACCAGCCACTCCTCGGAAGGAAGATGGGGCAATCTACTTCTGTAGTGATACTGCCTCGGAAACACAAGGAGGGGTCGCTATGAGTCGGTACTACTCAACGGCACATAACAACAACAATATATTGGACAAAGGATTTGTATCCAATATATATAAACAACTCTTAAAAAGAAACCATAAGGCAAATAACCCCCTTTAACCCACCAGCCACTCCTCGGAAGGAAGATAGGGCAATCTACTTCCATAGTGATATTGCCTCGGAAACCCAAGGAGGGGTCGCTATGAGTCGGGTCCGACTCAACGGCAAATAACAACAACAACAAAGTGAGAAAAATATTTGAATAGACCCTCAAAAAGAAGATATATGAAAACTTGTAAGTGGCACATGAAAAGATGCTTAATAAAATTAGTCAGTAGATAAGTACAAATTAAAAATATTACATACCCATTAGAGTGGATAAAATTAAAAATATTAACAATAACAAGTGTTGAAAACGATGTGAAACCCATACTTTTCTGATGGGAAATGAAAACTGGTAAATGCTCTTTGGAAAATGTCTGTTAGTTTCTTATAAAGTTAACCATACACTATATGATCCAGCTATTCCACTCCTAGGTATTTCCCAATAAAAATAAAAATATATGTTAACAAAAAGATTTCTATATAAATGTTCACAGAGTGTTATCTGTTATAGCGGACAGGGTTGCTGAGGCAGACATTCTATGGTTATAGCTCAGTTAAGGATTTAGCCCAAAGGCCAGATGGGGTTCAGGAAGTACTGAAAATTATTCTTCTAGAGCAGTGCTATGCAAAGTGTGGTCTACAAACTATTTCTGTTCCACAATGAAGAAAGAGCAAAAATTGGGAGTAAGCATTTAGAAACTTCTGTAGTAATTTGACACAGTAACTTTGTCTATTGAACCTGAAATTAAAAACTGTGCTCGTGTTTTCTGTCTTTTTTTTTTCTCCTTTTTTTTTCAGCAATTCAATTTTATTCTACTTTGCAAAAGTATCGGTCTGTGACAGATTTAAACAACAACAACATGTTTTTTTTTTACCATAGAAGGTTTGAGATACACTATCCTAGAGTAATAAGAATCTTAACTGGTCAAAGGAAAAGACCAGCACCAAAGAGAATAGTGGGCAACAGTGGTGAAAAGAAGCTGGCAGTTCCTAGGAAACAGTAGGCTGCTTGGTGCTACCTGGGCCAGGTCTCTTATATATAACACATGAGGGTGGGAGAGACTCCTTTGAGCTACTCATCTCACCACAAAACCACTCCCCAAACTAAATTTGTTCAAGACAAGAGCTAAAGAGAGAGAGAGAAAAAAAGATTATAGTGTGGAGAACATAGCTAGATTAATGAGAACCACAGTCATTTCCTTTTCCTGCTATGAATCATCTCAGCTCTGCAGCTACTGTTCTCTCTAACTTCCTCTCCCCTCCAAGGACTTTAGTGATTCCCATCTGACCTTAAAGATGGACTTAGCCACCACTAGCCAGAGAGAATCCTAGAATATAAGACTTGGTACTGGAAAGTGTTCTGGGTATCTTTTTGATACAAATGGGAACACTGAGAATCAGAGAGGAAAAGTGACTTGCCCAAGATCACCTGGCTGGCTACTGGTAGAGACTGGACTTTTAGTAGCCTGGGTAAATGAGAAGAGAGGGTTTGTGTGTGTGTGTGTGTTTCTCTCTCTCTGTGTGTAAATATTTTCATCATTTATTCTATCAGATATAGATCCAGTTAGGTTAACAAGGAAACACCGAAAGCCTACACTGTACAGCCCAAGGGGCACCAGTCAGAGTAATATATGGACTGGAGTTATGCAGTGCAGCAGCATGGTAAATACCACTTAGGGAGGAGGAAGGTGCTCATCTGTTAACTTGTTTGTTAGGCTGTTAGGAAAGAAATCAGATTAAACTGATATATATTAACAGGAGGCGCTCTGGTGCCACAGTGGTTAAAGCATTCAGCTGCTAACCAAAAGGTCAGTGGTTTGAACCCCCAGCTGCTTTGTGAGAGAAATATGAGGCAATTTGCTCCTGTAAAGATTTACAGCTTTGGAAACCCTATGGGGCAGTTCTACTCTGTCCTATAGGATTGCTATGAGTTGGAATCAATTTGATGGCAGTGGGTTTGGTTTGATATATAAATAGGAAAGGAAAATAATGATATCAAATTGATACTAAGTGTTAAAGGCTGCATTAAACATTAACATATGCTATCTCATTGAACCTAACAAAAAATCTGAAGGGTAGCTATTATTATCCCCATTTGATAATAAAGAAGCTAAAGTTCAGAGAGGTTATGTGTCTAAGGTCACAAAGCTAGTAGGGGCAGAGTGGTAAATGACTCTAGATCTGTTATCCAAACTCAAGCCCTTTACATAAGATCACAGGAGTCTCAAGAGGGACTCAGAAGTCTTCCTTAAAATACTCTACTCCAACTATGTATGGGAGAGGCACTTGGAGAGAGAAGGTTAAAAAAAAAAAAAAAGTGGGTAACCTTCTCTTAGAGTCCCCAGGCAATGGAAATGGCTAATGAACTCAGCTGGTAACTAAAAGGTTGGTGGTTCGAGTCCATCCAGAGGCATCTCAAAAGACAGTCTTGGTGATCTACTTCCAAACAATCAGCCATTGGAAGTCATATGAGTTCTACTCTGACACACATGGGATACCAACGGCTTTGGGGTTTTTAACTGGTAGCCTCACCTTAAGAATTCCCAGGATACTAGGATTGGGCAAACTTTATGCAGAAGAGGGAAGAGTTCTTGAGTGTTTGGGGTCTGTGAGCCTTTAAAGGCCCATCAGGAAGCCTCTGGTATGAGCCGGTTCCACTTCTTCATCTCTTCAATTGATTCCAGAATCACTTGGTTTATTTGAGAATATTCATTACAGCTACTTAGTAAGACAAACCATGTATATCAGATTAAGTAATGCATAGTACTAAATATTATCAAATTACATAAATATGTACCAAGTTTCTAGTGTGTTGTTTGTACCATGTGGTCATTCACTGATATTTTTTAAAATCTAAGGGAAAATGAGGTAAAAACACCATTGTTAAGAGTGTGGGGACAAAAGTTAAGCTGGAGCTAAAAATGATTAATTCTGCCCATTTGTACAGTTGATTCTAACTTTTAATTTTTGCTCTTATTATCTTATTTATTGTGTATAACTTACACGTTTTTATATTCTGACACTACCCAAAGCAGACATCCAAGGTTAGATGATCCCAAGTAATCCAATAAAGAGAGATGGTATCTGAATCCAAATGTAATATCTATCCCAGAGAAAGTGCTAGATTTGTCTCCGAGTAAGTTCCTTCTCTCCTTCAGTATAGGGTGTTTGCTGGTAAAATGAAAATTGGACTATAATCTTTTAAATCTCTAAACATTATTGCTAAATAGATTTCCAAACTCACTGCTATCAAGTCAATTCCAACTCACAGTGACCCCCACATTGCGTTTCCAAGGCTGTAAATCTTTACAGAAGCAGACTGCCTCATCTTTTTTCCATGGAGCAGCTGGTGGGTTTGAACCACTGACCTTTTTGGTTAGCAGCCAAATGTCTTCATCACTACACCACCAGAGCTCCTTAAAATAGATTTAGTGACTAGCTTTATCCAAGAGTCATATTTTCTCATATTGCCATGTATGGCTTTCATCATCTATCAAGCACTCAAGTAAAAATTTGTATTTTAAAAGTAATTCAGGTCATGTAGGGGACCTGATAGTGCCCTTTTTTTACAGCATTTATTCTGAGTTCTTCACCTTGACATTGCACTAAATCTACCTTAGCCCACCTAAAGTCACTCTATACTCTAGACATATATTTATATTTAAGTAGCTAGCTAGACAGAACCTCAGCACATGAGTCATTCACACTCTGAATCCCTCATGTCCTAACGAAGGAATAAGAAAGGTGGCTAATATAATAGAATCACTTGGGAAAATAGCAGAGTTTCTAGAAATAAAAGACAGATACACCCACTATTCACTTACTGATGTCACTAGGTTCCAAAGACCAGGTCATTATGCAAAAAGAAGGGATGACCTCATCAGATCACAAAATGGAGATGAGTACAGCATTTATAACTGCCAAATTTCATCCTTACATAACTGCTAAATCACTGAGAATCATGGCCCAGCCAAATTGACACATAAGCTTAACCATCACAGCCAGCATTACTTTCACCTTGTGCACTGGCATTCATAACCGCTAGATGTATATCACCAATGCACAAAATATTTGGATAGTAGATTTTTTACTATGTAGTAAATGTGAAATGTCAGATAACAAGATTGTCAATAAGTGAGGAGTAAGTATAATAGGCTAGGGGGATAAAAGGATGAGAATAGAAACACACAATGACACATGCAGGGACACGTAGGGACAGAGTCAAGAAAAAATACAAAGACACATAGACATGAGCTAACCTCTCATTTTCCTTTGTTCCCACCCTTCCCTGAATGCCTGAGTTTTCCCTGAGCTCTTCCCTCACAACTAGTTCTCCCATTTTCTTGGTACCTACTTGATGTGTTCTGTGCGCCCAGAACCCTCGATGGTCTTGGCTCCCCACCGTTGCTCCTTCTCAGAGATGTCATTCTGCAAAAGACAGCACTCAGTAATATGTGATGGGAAGAGATATGTCACACTAGGGGCCACACAGCTGACACGTGTGTACTCCACATCCCCTGCATCAGCTGCCTCCATCAGTTTGGGTCTTTATTCAGGCTCCTCTCTAGGTTCACCCCACTCTGACTCCATGCTAAAATTAAACTGGTGAACTGAGAAATCTTCCTTCCTGCTCTATATCCTTCATACTTTTCCTTCCAGGCATCCTACAGTTTCTCAGTCCCCTCAGATCATACACATCTAGCCCAAATCCTGGATCAGAGGCCAAAGGAGACCCATGTTAACTTGTTCCTCTGTCAGCATAGCCTGTTATAACCTGGCAATCACTGTCCAGCTCCTCAGCACCAGTCTCCTTCCATTCTGAACATCACCTATCACATATGCTTCAGTCATGACAGAAAATTGAACTAGCAGTAGTCCCATAATGAGGGCTGTATCAGTCCCAGACTGTTGTTTTCCAAGTCCCCCAGAGGACACTGAGCAGCCCAGATGTCCTGCCACCACCCACTTTATTGTCTGAGCAAAGCTACTTCCAAACTCACCACAAAGTCAGGGTCAGTGTCCCAGTCATCCCCCTGGGTCTCCACGGAAACAGATACATCATGCCCTACTACAGACTTCCACATCTGAGGGGGACAGAAGACAAGAATAATTAAGACAAAAAAAAAAAAACAAAAGCATCAAGAGTAGAGAAAAAAACAATGCTGAAGGCAATAATAAAAGAGTCCCAATGTTTTTAGTTATATATATATTTTTGGAAGAGAATAAAAGTCAAGGTAAAGCAGGTGGGAGTTTTAACCTTGAAAACATTATGCTGAGAGTGAAATAAGTCAATCACAAAAAGAAAAATCATTGCATGATTTCACTAAATAAAAAACTTAGAACAGGCAAATGACTAGAGATCAGAATTTAACAGTGGTTACCAGGAGCAAGAGGGAAGGGGAAAGTGGGGGATCTTTGTTTGGCTAGCATTGTGTTTCTGTGTATGGGGATGGAAAACATGGCAATGAATATTGATAATGGTTATGCAACATAATTGATGTGATTGGTTTCATTGAAGTGTGCAAATGACAAATGTTGAATTGGCAAATGTTGTATTACTTATATTTTTACAAAAAAAAAAAAAAGCACTTCCACTCATCTTAGGTGGGAAGGGGGTGTGCTCATTCAAGAGAAACTGAGTCTGGAAACAAATCGTCTTGGGTGTAGGTAGTGCTAAATAACTTGGATGTCAAAACTTCTGGGATTGTTTGTGTCCAGACTCCAGAGGCTAGCCGGGCAGCAGCTTGGGGTAGTGTTCAATGACAGCATGGCATCTGTGAGAAGGAGCAACAACGGGGAGCCAAGCCATCAAGGGTTGTGGGTGCACAGAGGACAGATTTCTACAGATAATTCCTTTCACAGTTGCCAAAATATAAATTGGTCCAGTTCTTGCCAAAGTGAGTAACATCTACACTCTTCCATACAACCCACTTAATTCTGTTGATAATTTTTCCAACACCCAGTGCAAGTACCTTCCCACTTCCTCTTTGAGACTGCCTGTGGACAGCTACCTGCAGTCAGTAGGAGCAGTCAGTTGAAATTCCTGTACTGAACAATGAATGGGGAAGCACTGTTCACTGGGAATAACTTATTTCCAATTTTTAAGAACAGTTCAATTTCCAAAGAAGATAACTGGTTCAAAATATAACCTGTAAAAATCCATATTTTGAACACAAAAGGTGTTCAACGTTTATTAACTAAATAAATGCAGAAGAAATACTTTGAGAACACTAGCTTGAAAGGGTGCCAAACTGTCCTTCTGTGAGAGCATCTCCAAGTCAGCCTGCCAACTGTGCAGGAGGAGGCGTTACACATTGGCTCTGCATCTGTGGGGTCCTGGACCTTGGTGTGAAAAGGTAAAAAAAGAACAATGCCCACCTGCTGCACGGAGACTTCTCAACCCTGGCACCACTTGCTAGCTGAATACTTTTCTGACCATCTGTCCCTCTGTGAACACAACCTCATCCTACTCTCCACACCCTCCTCACTCTTCATTGTTTCTTAGGGCATCTCTTTTACAAATGCTTTCCTGTCTGTCCACATAGGCCCTAGGCTTCTCCTCTCTAGTATTCTTTTTCCACTTGAAAACTCCACCCTTCTCCACTCCATGCTCTTTCAACAACCGATCCCTTGGAAATTGCATCTAAAAGGGTTTGGGTGTAGAGGGAGATGAGATTCGAGAGGACACTGGAGAAGCAGTGCCTGAGGCATCTAATTGTGAGATGAGTCATTGCCAAGAGCAGCTCGGCCTTCCCTGCCAGGGCGACAGTTACGGATGTGGGCAGGTAGACGAGACCTATGAGCCTGTACCCTTGCACTGTGTCTATTACTCATGTTCTGTCTCCTGTGCTGTGTTGCAGCAACAAGAGTTAATACAGACAACTAGAAAGAAGAAGTTTTTGAAATATGTGTGTGCAATAAGGAAGCAATGAGGACCAATGGGCTGGTCCTCTTTCCTGCTGTTCTTCTGAGGCCTTGTCTTGACTCTCCCAGAAATCTCCCATTTTTGCCCATTCTTGAAATAAAGGGATGAGTTTCTGACATAGACACAATGTGGTATCTTGACTTACTGACCAGAAATAGGGAAAGCAAGAAATGCTCTCTAGAGACAGGAGACAGAATAGGAATGTGATTGGGCAGCGATCTTAGGCACAATCAAGGGTCTCAGCATAAGGGTAACTTATAGCATCAGTACATGAATTGGGAGTCAGAAGAACTGGTGATGACCCCTGTGGGAACACGGGTAAGAGAATCATCATAAAGTATGTGGTTATGTGCCAGGCACCAGTGTAGGCAAGTTATAAATATTAACTTAAATAATTTGGCAAATCACTGAATAATTGAAAAATAAATGATGGGGTCAGGCTACCTGATCTATATAAAGTCCCTTCCATTTCTGACATTCTGAGATTCTGTGATCCTGCAATCACAGAAACTCATCCCAACCAAACCGTCACGTCTTCAACTTGGTTCTCAGCACTAGTATACATTAGCTAGTACTTCCTGAACTGTTACACCATTTCCTGTGTGGGTTTTGCCTCCCTGACTAGACAATATGCTCTTCAAGGGCACAGACTTTGTCTTCATGTTTGTGGTCCTCCTCTTAACTCAGTGTCTAGGAACAGCAGCCCTTAGAAAGGGTTGCAGATAATCAGCAGAGACCAGGCAACACTTCACTTGGTCTGCGGTCCTGACTGGCTGCTGCATCATGATCTCCTGGGCTTCAGCCCTTCCTCTGTTCCCAGCCCTAGATGCTCATTATCCACAACCACTCACACCCTGGCCTTCTGGCCACAAAAGTTCAAAAAATCTAATAGCTTTGTCCCTCATCCTCACCAGAAATTAAGAGACAGGTAGGTTCCTCTTACTTCCACCCTTGTTTCCCAACTCCCCCCACTACTCAGTGTACCCACCTCCAATACAATGTGAGTGTCTTCTGCTCTTGGATTCCAGCTTCTCACAAAGACACCCAGCTCCCTGTCTGGCTGCTGCCACTCAGAATAAGAAACTGAGCTGCTGCTTCAGTTCCGTATTCAGGTTTGCTGTCATTTCCTGCTGCTCTGTCCTCACAGCTACTTCCTGAAGTTTGAGTCAGTTACTTCTGCTTAGGGGCTTAAATTTAAAAGGATTAGTTAAACACCTCTGTGCCTCTTCTTTTGTAAGGCTTTGAGGATCTTGGGAAAGTCACAGAAAATGCTGCTCTTACTCTGAATTTAAAATCTAGTCAGGGAAGTAAAACATTCAAAAACCACAAAACACATTAAAGAATGCTATCAGACTGGCTTTGTGTCCTAAATGTGGTGGGCAGTTGCATCTGTTACAGTAAAGGAATTCAGAGAATTTGGGATTGGCTGTTCTGACTCACGGCAACTCCAATGGTGTCAGAGAACTGTGCACCATATGGGTTTCAATTGCTGGGTGGTTTTTTTTGGAAGTAGATTGCCAGGTCATTCTTCCTTGGAACCCACCTCCAGCCTTTTGGTTAGCAGCCAAGCATGTTAACCATTTGCACCCCTGAGGGATGCTGGGATAGGCTGTAATGATCAAGAAACACTCAATGGGAAAAGTGATTTTATGTAGATATTGAAGGATAAGATTGAAAAAGAAACTGTACACACATTGCCCACAGCACTTAAAACTAGGTTTCACATATATTTGTTGTTGTTAGGTGCCATTGAGTCGTCTCCAACTCATAATGACCCTATGGGCAACAGAACAAAATACTGTCTGGTCCTGTGCCAGCCTCACGATCCTTGCTATACCAGAGACCATCACTGCAGCCACTGTGTCAATCCATCTTGTTGAGGACCTTCCCCTTTTTCGTTGACCCTCCACTTTACCGAGCATGATATTCTTCTCCAGGGAATGGTCCCTTCTGACAACATGACCAAAGCAGGTGAGATGAAGTCTGGTCATTCTTGCATCCAAGGAGCATTCTGCCTGTACTTCTTCAAGGACAGATTTGTTAGTCCATAGTACTTTCAGTATTCTTCTCCAGCACCACAACTCAAAATCATCAACTCTTCTTTGGTCTTCCTTATTCATTGTCTAGCTCTTATATGTATATGAGGGGACTGAAAATACCATGGCTTGGGTTAGGCACACCTTAGTCTTCAAGGAGACATCTTTGTTCTTCATCACTTGAAAGAGGTCTTTTGCAGCAGATTTGCCCAATGCAATACATTTTCTGATGTCTTGACTGCTGCTTCCATTGATGTTGATTGTAGAACCAAGTAACATGAAACCTTTGAAAACTTTAATCTTTTCTTCATTTATCATGATGCTGCTTATTGGTCCAGTTGTGAGGATTTTTGTTTTCTTTAAATTGAGGTGTAACCCATACTGCAGATTGTAGTCTTCAATCTTCATCAATCCTCAATCTTCAAGTCATCATCACATTCAGCAGGCAAAGTTGTGTCATCTGCATTGCAGGTTGTTAATGAGCCTTCCTCGAATCCTGATGCCACACTCTTCTTCATGTAGTCCAGCTTCTCAGATTATTTGCTCAGCATACAGATTGAATAAGTATGGTGAAAGGATACAACCCTGACATACTCCCTTCCTGATTTTAAACTATGCGGTATGCCCTTGTTCTGTTCCAATGACAGCCTCCTGGTCTATGTACAGGTTCCTCATGAGTACAATTAAGTGTTCTGGAATTCCCATTCTTCTCAATGTTATCCACAATTTGTTATGATCCCATAGTCTAATGCTTTTGCATAGTCAATAAAACACATGTAAGCATCTTTCTGGTATGCTTTGCTCACACCCAGGATCTATCTGACATCAGTAATGACATCTTTTATTCCATGTCCTCTTCTGAATCCAGCTTGCATTTCTGGAATTTCTTGGTTAATATACAGCTACAACCGTTTTTGAATTATCTTCAGCAAGATTTTACCTCCTACTTTGGTTAGTAGTGACTGGGATCTTAAAAGCTTGCAAGCCACCATCTACATGCAACAATGGGTCTCTCCTCGTCCAGAGCAAAGAAGAATGAAGAAAAACAAAAATTCATGGAAACAATTAGTCCTAGCAACTGGTACACCATGCAATCTGCAGCCTATATGACTATGAGACCAGA